TCTCTCTCTTTTATAAAAACACACACACATGTGCGTGTATATATATATATATATATATATATATATATATATATCGCAAACTATATCTAATGTAAAATTAGTTTTGCACAAAATTTAGAGATATCTACTTTATCTCACATCTATCGCAACAGTATCGAGAAAGATCAATTGTGAAGAATAGTCGCGTTGAAACGGATGATAAACACATCACACACATGTATTATCAAAGAAAGGAAAGTTATCGATTTTGCACGTCAATGATTGTCAGTCATTTTGATTAGGATAAAGATTCGTTCTCAGGAACCGAAGCTCTCGCTGTGAAATTCCTAGCACGATTGCTCGTGAAAGGAACGCGTCTCCTGTGGATCTCCTCTCTCTACTCGGGCGTTTAATTAGCGTCCTCGATCGCGTAGAAAGGAGGAACTAGCTTAGGTGCCCGGACCTTTTGACGTCACACGGCGAGAGCCGACCGGCGGGAGATCGAACAGGGGCGAGAGGATGTTGCTGAGGTAACACGACATTTCGAGGCCGCACGAGAAGTACGATAATCGCAGCGCGGGAAGGTGTCGATCGCAGCAGGCGCATAAAGGAGGATCGAAGAGTGGCGGAAGGATGGGTTTTCCCAGGAGAAGGTCGCTGTGGCTGAAGGTGGCGGTACTGGCAACCGCCGTGTGGGTGACCGTCTGTTTCCTGCTCTATACGGAGGATCGGGCGGCGGCGGCTGCCGTTCAAGGATTGGCACCGTCGGGCGTCGCGATGCCGCAACAAGCGGCGAATGGCTTTGTGCCACCCGCGGCGCCATTTAGAAAAGAGTCGACTGGTAATGCTATTAACAACAGGGCGAAGATCAATCAAGTCGGTCTAAAGCAAGGTAATTTTTTTCTTTTTTTTTTTATTTATTTAAGTTTTATTAAGTTGTTAGAAAATTAATTTAATTTGTTGGATTGTTAAGAATGTGTGATGTAAATTAAAATGATCGTTTTGCATGTAGCTGAAAAGAAATAAAGAGTTACGTATTCATTCTCTTTCTCTCTATGATTAAAATCATATTCTTTATCGTTTGCCGATGTGACATAGGTGAGTTGCTACATGAATCACGTCTGTTAGGAAACGGCTTAATAGACAAACACCCTAACACACACACACACACACACACACACAAAACACGCGCGCGCGTGTAGGTGCGAGTTAGGTCTTAATAAGCTGATAGATGTCCCTTTTGGAATGCATGGTCTGTGCATGAATCATACCTGAGAATGTTTGATTACTTCGCAAGCCACCTGTGGCTCAATCTGTGTCCGACATTTCGAGAACATTTTTCAAATAAGGTGGATAAGAGAAAATTTATTACATATCATTACACATTTTCTTCATTGTGCTTATGACATTTAATAATTACGCGCTATATGTGTAATTTGATTTCTATAAAGTTCACGAATCAATGGATTTTAGTAATAAAATATCACTAAAAATTGGTATCAATGTTTCAAAAATTTTTTCTTATTTTATCATAGATACAAATTATATAGAAATTCTATGTAATTAATTCTCCAAAAAATATCTATTGGAAAATATCTGTTTAATTTGTTTACGATTAATCAGACAGAAAGAAAAAAAACGGAAAAACAATTTAATTTGAAAAAAATCTTTAAAAATCCTTTTTAACCCGATTCTTATATCGTTTATACATCTTGCGTGTCGATCGCATAAGAGAAGCAGGAATAAAGGCAAACCGCGCGGAGAAGAACGTAGAGCTATAGATATGATTGTACACGCGAAGGATCTTCAAAGACGAAAGTTCTCTCGGGCGATGCCACGGGCGCAATAAGGAATCTTTGGTAGTTCACCCGCCGCGTTCATCCCTTATTGCCAGACGCGAAGTACGAATGGGGCTTTCATAATACATGGATCATCCCGACGATATTGTCGACATTGCATGCTAGCGAACAGCGCGACATATATATTAGAGAGGAATCTGTAAATGTGGATCCTGAACGATGCTTAGTCGTCTCGACGCGCCCACGTCATGCCACGCGCCAGTTGATGCCTCTCACGAGCTCACATTCGCAGAGAACTTGGCTCTCACGCCCGGAATGACGTGTTAATGAATTTAAATGCTTTTACGGGCGTGAATGCGTGTTCCGACACTGAGAAGGAACTGAGAAGGAACTGAGATGACTCTCATCTCGCGCGAACGGAGGAGAAGGAGATCTCCTGGCGCGGCACGGACGGCCGGATCCTCTCTAAGAAAAGCTCGTAGTGTAACAGCGACGCAGCCGTGATGCACGACGCGAGTTTCACCGCCGAACTTCGTAGCGGCCCGTCGCGGCGCTAAAGCAATTTGTCGTCCTCTTTATTGCCGCATCGTACACACCGGGGCCGAACTTTGTCGACCGGGATAAAATTATTTTCAGGACAGGCGGGTCAGGCGCGCCAGCCAGCCGACCATATCGCAAAGCGTATACTTGCCTCGTTGGCTTTAGCAGCTATGCCGCGGCAATATGGCGCCGGCAAATAAAACTGGAGTTTATGCGAAAAAGCTCTTAGAGGGTGTTCCTTCGAGACCCGGCGCGTCGGGAATGTGGATGTGCTGAAAATTCAATTCCCGATGCCCTTTTTCTCCGGCGCAGCGTATCGTCACCTTCGCTACCATCGCGTTCACTCGTTTCTTCTCACGCTCCGACGTTAAGCATTATACATATTCCCGTTATTCAGACGAAACGAGAAGCGGAATGAGAATTAGCTAGAAACGGCGACAAAATACGATCAGGATCATTATATATTGTTTCATTTACCTTTTTATCTTGTCGATACACAAGCAGCATGATAATGTTCTTTCTCAATTTATCAACAATTCTAACTTCAATTTCAATCAACACTTAGAGGAGAGTTTTTTCGCGATATAAGATTACACTAATAAATATTGTTAATCTTTGAAACTAATTATTTTGTTAACATTGTCATTAACAGGATCATATCGATTTGATATTGTCTCCCTTTTTTAATTATTGATTTTAAAATTTATTCAATAAAAATTTTAATTTTGATTCTGAACTACACTAGAGAGAATGCAGTGAGTGAAAAATGAAATAAAATTTTAACGAAAGCATAATTTTGTAAACAAGATATTATTATATCTTTTAAGAGGAATATATTCCTGGATTGTTCAGGCAATATATAATTTTTATTTCTTATTTACGTATATTTCATGACATTTCCGAAGATTAGTATATATATATATAGTTTTTGTAACATTTTAATAAGGATTCAATAAATTAATGACTAAATATTTTAATCTTCTTAATTCTATCTAATTGGAACGGTGAAATAAATTTAAGGATATATAATTCACAATTACTAGACATAATGTATAAAATATTCAATCACGTACCAACATCTTCATACGATGTCACTCATTTGTGATCTTTGATGGCTTTTAGATTCTATAGGTAGTGGAGTGTTGGATATACCACGGGAACCGGATACTGCTGCACCCGGTGAAATGGGCAGACCCGTGATATTGCCGGCCAACATGTCTGCGCAGACGAAGAAGCTGGTAGATGATGGCTGGCTCAATAACGCATTTAATCAGTACATCAGTGATTTAATCTCCGTGCACAGATCTTTGCCCGATCCACGCGATCAGTGGTGAGTCATATTTATTATATATAATTTTTTAGTTTGCAATAGTTCGCCAAAGTTAACGATATATTTGGCATGTAAAATGTTTAATTTCTTTCCTTTATTTTATTTAAAAAGATAATAGCTTACCAACGATGTAATAATGGAAGTTTTATCGCAAACTGTCCTGTAAAGGACACATACGATTTATTACGTTCAGAGACGCGATCGGTGGCTCGTTTATCAGCGCGATATTTGCCATCCGAGAAAATGAAAAATATACGCAAAGTAAATGTAAAAAAGAAAAGAAAAACGAGCGTTTAAACGTAACATCTCTGGAGGGTATGTTATATCCGCTATATAAAAAGGATATGGTATGCTGGTCCCCGAGGCACAGAGTAACAGCCAGCGGCGTTTCGTCGATCGAGACAGATAGGCTGCGGTAATGCGTCGGCGAATCGTGGCCGTAAATGTTCCGTGTCATTTTCCTTTACTGCGGGTGCGGTCGCATCATAACATGGTATAGTCCTTGATAAAACATGACGGGTTAAAGGCCACGACATTACGATCTAACTATCCTAGATCCGCGATCCTTCCATTCTTTCCTTTCACTTGAAAAAGAAGCACCTCTATAGAACATCTCCGATACACACGGAAATGAATCGTTCTTTACGAGCATAAGATTTGAGTTAGTAGTTTTCTTTGCGAGTACATGTACCGACAAAAAATTCAGAATCCAAATGCAATGCAAAATACGCTCGCGAAGCAACAGCTGCATCGTAAATTGTATGGTATCATATAGAATCAGTTTCTTTTTAATAGCGAGACCTGTTTTCTGCTTTCGTAACTTCTTGACTTCTCTTTTCTATAAGTATAACGTGACCAGACGTCCTTCTTTCTTTTTGACAAGGACAATCTTATATTTGATAAATTCTTTTCTAAAAATATTTTACCTTTCAAAGATACATCGTTCTTCATTTCACTTTGTTGATAAAATCGACACTTTTGTTTTTATTCATCCGGTGTAATAAATATACTCAGGTATATTTATTTATAATTGTGAAAGGACGAGAATACTGCGACTAAAATTGCATTTATTTCCATGGTCGTTGCGAACATCGAATGTATCTATTAATAAAGTTTCTGTTAAATGTCGATATCATATGTATGATCGGAAATTACTTTTCTTTAGTCTTGCGTTCCATCGTACCAAAGTGCAATTTATTCACTTTCAGGCACAACGCGCACGATCACGAAGGATATTAAAAACCGCTTTTGCGGATAACGTTTTATCCGAGGCCGGAGAGAATGTTCTCTCGCTCTGAGTGAAATACTAATGCAATGGTGTTGCGAGGAGCATTTCTCGAGTAATATTGTAACGCAATGCCTCATGTAATTTGCATCGCGCCATTATTTTAATTACGGTACTAAGTTAAATGTGCTGCTATTATATGTAAACATCTCTCTTAAATGAAGAAGAACAACCACACTAATGTAATACGTACTATTACGTACGTCACTACGTGTATGTTATATGTGCGTTCAAGCTATGCTAATGACCCTCTATTCCGAATTCTTGTTAACGTTGCAAATTATTTTCCGTCTACGTCGCAAATGTAATTTCACAAGGGGAGGGAGGAGAGACGTCCGCTCGCTTGTGCGAAATACTACGGTACGTGTTACGTGTTGTTTAATTAATTGCACTGTGCCTAATTTGTTGCGCGAGTTGACCGTAATAGTCTAACGGCGAAAAGAGCGCGCGGGCGACGTAGTTCGGAAATTTAATCATCGGAAAATGCGTTACCGGAAATTAATACATTACCCCGTCGTCGTGTTCTTACGTCACGCGGGAATTCTGAAACTCCCCGCTGGGAAGTTTTCAATTATACTATTTCATTAAAACAGAATATTCTTTCGATCTCAATCACGTTAGAGGATTTTCTTTTCGTAGGCAAATATGTTCGGAGAATTTAAATAACCGCTGTTAAGTTTAATATTTTGTCATATAATATGAATAACGATACATTTTGCCAGAGAAATATTAAAAACATTACATATGTATGTATTTTTTAAAAACATTACATATGTATGTTTTATTTGCACCGCACTTTTTTACTTACTATCTTTGTCTACTTTTTTTACTTCTTTATTATTTTAGCGTGATTTGATTGTTTACGTCTAACTATAAGCAATTACGCCAAGCAACAAATTGATGATTTTGTTAAAATCCGTCTTGAAGATCGTGATTTATTCGAATGAAACCGAGCCGTAGGGCCGTAACTAAACAGTACCTGCGGTACGTCCGAAATATGTTTCGCGGTGACCGTAAATTTTCGCTAAAACTTCGTCCTGGCGGCGGCAGCGGCGTCGGGCCGACCGCGGTAGCGAATTAACCCCATGAATATTAATTACAATTTACATGATATTAACCGACATTATCAGGACAGGTGGGCAAACTTCGTGGGTGCCTGTTGTTACTGACACACCGCGAGTCGCGTCCGTAACTAACGGCTTGGATAAAGGTACCACCACACCAGCGTAAGTAGCACTATACGATGCGCTTACGAACAGGTGTCCTTGATTTAGAGCAACGAGCATTGTTCAGAGAGAAAATCGGTAGATAGAGGAAAGCGAGGTATGAAAAAGCCTTTTTTTAAGATATGAAAAAAAATTTAATCTGGTATTAAATAAATATAATCATTTTCTTAATTAAGTATATTAAATTATCTATAAGATCCATTTAACAGAAAAATTATATTTTATCATTAATTAACTGAGATTAATCACTATTTTTTATAAACTCAAAATTCTGCTCTTTCAAAACAACATGGTTTTGAAAGAGCCGAATACTAAATTATTTAAGTTTTAAATAAAATCCTATAATCCAAAATGTTATCCTATAACAAATATAATTTTTCTTAGGAAATAATTAATAAACGTGTGGAAAACAAAATATAATATTTCGAATTAAAAACACTTATTGCAAAAGAAATGAAAATTTCCCTTATTGCCACATGAAGTATGAACCTAATCAGAGCACAATTTGCATTGATAGAGGAAAGTGAGGTATGAAAAAGCCTTTTTTTAAGATATGAAAAAAAATTTAATCTGGTATTAAATAAATATAATCATTTTCTTAATTAAGTATATTAAATTATCTATAAGATCCATTTAACAGAAAAATTATATTTTATCATTAATTAACTGAAATTAATCACTATTTTTTATAAACTCAAAATTCTGCTCTTTCAAAACAAGACTGATAGTCTTCACTATTTATAGAATAATCTATTGAACAAACACAACAATTATCATACTATCTTATTGCCATTATGTCGTGAACAAACTTTGATGATTTTGTATTTTTAGAGATTGCCATAGTATTAGATGCAATCTTTCCTAACTCAGTTTCTGAAATTTTATCAAGTGAGTCATTTCTATGTAATGAAATGTCCTGGCCATTTTGGCTATCTAATTTCTTGGCTCACTAATTTCAAATTTTTCCTAAACGATTTTATAAATTTTTTTGGTCATATTCTGTATTTTCTTCTTTTTTAGATTTTAATTCATTTTTTTTCTAATATTCTTTGCTTTTCTGGTGTGTCTGTTATAATTGCTGAATTCATTTTACATTTACCTATTGTCTTTTTCCTAGGCCTTGCTTTTGGAAAAGGACGTATACGTTCAAGTGTGACTATATTTTTTGCAGAAATGCTGGCAATGATTCGGATTTCTTAATTACATGAGTTGGTTCTTGAATTACAAGAGTTGGTTTTTGAGTTACGTGAATATGTGTTACTTCCACAATGTTAGATTGTTCTTCTGATTTGGGAGTCACTCTCAGTAGGTAGAGATCAATCAGTAACATATGAAGGAAGAAAGTTTTCATCTGAGAATATGTTTGAATTTAATGGATATATGCCGGTTTTAGCAAATCCTTGTGTCAAATTATGAGGCGTGAAAGACGTCAAAAACTTCTCTAACAAATTGACCTACATGATAAATAATTACTGTAACACCAGGATTTGATAACATCCATTCATTCATTACTATTTTATATCTTGATTTAAATGTCACGAACACATCAAGTGGTTGTAACCGATGACTGAAATGTGGCGGGAAAGTTAAAATAATTATATGATTTTTTTTTAGTGAATTCTATGACTAAAAAGTTTACATGTGTACAATGATTATCCATAAGGATCAATACAGAATTTTCTTTTGTTGGGTTGACATGTTTCACAAAATGCTGAAAGTGCTGACATTCTTCATTCATCCAACCACTACTATTAGTTAAGCTAAGAGCACCTACTGCGCCATTAACTAACATAATATTCTTGTAACGATCTCTTAGAAATACAAAAACAGTGAGAATCCAGAAGCATTGATCATGAAAAGTACCGTCACTAAGTTCCCTCGTTCAATGGCAGTAACTTCTCAGTAATGTTCCACTTGCTTTGTCTCACGCTGAGCTTTTGGAGGAATTGTGACAGTACTACCGGTCTCATCAAAGTTAAATATCAAATGTAGAAATTTATATTTGATCATAAGTGCAGTTAATTTCTCAACGAACATGCTAACATTTGTTGAAACTAGTGACCCTTAAAAGAAAAGTGGTTTCAGGTTTGCGAATTGTCAGATTTTTGTGGCGCTTCATAAAACCTTGCCTAACCATTCAATATTTCTTTATTTATTCTCCATTTGTCTGGAGTAACGGAAAGTGTTTCAACATATTGAAATGCTTGCAAATATCTTGTTTGTTTGCATGACAGACTACGACACATTTTGATGATGTCTTGAGATAATCTGCTAAATCATTTTCCTGTAACGTAAATATGCATCTATTGCCTATATTAGGACAGTGAACATATGAATTATTTGATTATTTTTTTGCTCTCTTTACAATTTTAGTCATACTCTTGAGATGTTATGAGTGAGTGCAGTGCTGTTGATGCTGTAATTAATAACTTCTTTAATGACTTCCTAGATAAGACAGTAACAGAAGGTCGCTTTCTTTTCTTTGATTT